CGGCAGGAAGAGGACGAGGAAGAACGCGAAGAGCGGCTGGCTCAAAACGCTGAGAGGATGCGACTTTCACGTCAGGAAGAGGACGAGGAAGAACGCGAAGAGCGGCTGGCTCAAAACGCTGAGAGGATGCGACTTTCACGTCAGGAAGAGGACGAGGAAGAACGCGAAGAGCGGCTGGCTCAAAACGCTGAGAGGGTCCGACTTCTACGACGGCAGGAGGACCAGGAACAATGGGAAACGCGCCTTGCAGAGGACGCTGAGAGAGCACGAGTTCGAAGGCAGCTGGAAGGTGAGGAGCATAGGATAGCGCGCTTAGCCCGGAATGCTGATAGCGCTCGAGCTTCGCGACAACAAGAGGACGATGATCGGAGGCAAAGTAGACTGGCACGAGAGGCTGAAAGGTCACGGATCCGAAGGTATCGGGAGAGTGAAGAAAGTCGAGAGATTCACAGAATGGAAGATGCTGTAAGAGTAAGGTTACGCAGGCGGGAAGAAGATGAAGATTCGCGGCAGCAACGCAATGCTGCTTCAGCGCAACGGGAGCGTAGACGTAGAGATCGCGAAACAGTAGCTGAAGGTCATCAGAGACGTACAACTGAAGCTGAAAGATATCGCGCGCGTGCCAGAAACATGGCATATGAAACGCGAGGTGTTGCCAGGACGAATGTACAGCCGGAAGAATATTACGATGGACCGATGAACGTAACATGTGAAAGTTGCGGGGCAAAACACTTCAAATCGGAATGCAAGGGTAAAAGGACCTTCAATGACTGTTGCAATCATGGCAACATCAGTTTGCGACACTTCAGTGACTATCCTGCTGAACTTCATGCGCTGCTCACAAGTCAGGAAGGCGAAGCGAAGGAATTCCGCGAACATATCCGTAGTTACAACAGTGCCTTTGCTTTCGCCTCTATGGGGGCTCAATTGGATACGCCACGTGGACATGGTCCTTACTGTTTTCGCATCCATGGCCAAATATACCACAGAATAGGACCAGCACGTCCGGAGAATGGTCAACCCCACCGTTATGGGCAAGTCTACATTCTCGATACCGCGATGGCAGCCGAGGAACGGATGGGGAATCCAGCAAATACCAATTGTAACCCTCAGATTATTCGTTCTCTAAGTGAACTGTTGCATCGGATAAATGCGTTTGCACATGCATACAAAATGCTAAACGAGGTGGCGATGGAGGAGGAGGTGCTCGCTTTAAGAGAAGGACGATCTGCGAAACCAGTGCGAATGGTGTTCGAAACTCCCGCGGCTGTTGATCGGCGTGTTTACAATGCACCTACAGCTAACGAGGTTGCTGTTGTGTATATGTTGGAGGTGATGGAGATGTTCCAGCGGAGCATAGTCTCGCTGTGCACCTACATTCTGGAGGATTGCGGAACGTCAGAGTATATGATCGTGAGTGTGATCCACTAACTTATCCACTTTTCTTCCCGCGTGGAGAATATGGATGGCATCCGAATATGCATAAGAACCCCTCTGAGAGGAGACGAACAAGAATTTCTCAGAAAGAATACTACTCTCACATGATCGCCGTTCGAGACTACTTCAATCCTCTACATTATTCTGGAAAGCTTTACCAACAGTTTTTGGTAGACAGCTATGTGAAGATTGAACAAAATCGACTCAACTACGACCGTATACCCACCAAGTGGAACTCAGAGTGGATAGCTACCGCGGTCTGTGCGATTTTGTAAATGGAGATAACGACATCGGAGGACCCCCAGGTGCTAGAAGAGTAATACTACCTTCCTCTTTTCGCTGATCCTACGAGCAATGCTCATATCAGGATGCATGGGATGTCTCGAAATATGGTAAACCAGACCTCTTCATAACGTTCACGTGTAATCCTGCATGGAGAGAGGTCGCTGAGCAGCTGAAACCTGGGCAGACGCCTTCCGATAGGCCAGACATCGTTGCTCGCGTTTTCAACATCAAATTGCAAGAGCTTTTCACGGACCTCTTCAAGCGGCAGATATTTGGAGTTGTGAAAGCGTATATTTCGGTTATGGAATGGCAGAAACGCGGGTTGCCTCATTGCCACATGCTCATTACATTGTCAGAGGAGGACAAGCCAAGAAGTATTACTGACATTGACTCCATTGTACAAGCCGTCATCCCTGACCGAGAGACAGAGCCTCGCCTTCATGGCATTGTGACATCCTGCATGATGCACAGACCATGTGGAGTTGACAACCCGCATTCGCCATGTATGGTTGACGGGAAATGCTCGAAAAGGTTCCCAAAGCAATTCCGAGATGTAACAACTACAGAACATGATGGTTACCCGGAATATAGCCGACCTAACGACGGCAGAACTGTGGTTTCTGGAGGCAAAGTACTAGATAACAGATCCGTAGTGCCGTACAACAAGTATTTGGCACTTCGTTACAATGGCCATTTGAATGTGGAAATCTGTGGTATGGTTCAAGCGGTTAAGTACATGTACAAATACGTATACAAAGGGCCAGACCGAGCGGCACTGCACATGCTGAGGAGCACCGACGAGCGAGACAACAGCGTGATCAATGAGATCGATGAGTTTGTCAATGCTAGATACGTATGTGCCCCAGAGGCTGTACACAGACTACTTGGATTTGACCTTCAAACGAAATCGGATACAGTCTGCAGATTGCAGGTTCACCTGCCGGATTATCAAATTGTGAATTTCCAAGGAGGTCAAGAAGAAGAAGCAATCCGTCGGGAAGCTGAAAGAGACACTACACTAACCGCCTTTTTCAAGCTGAACCAGGAACATGAGCTCCTCTACGGGAATGGAGAAGTGCCTGAGAGAGAAAAGGATGCTAGATTGCTGTTGTACACACAGATACCAGAGTTCTTCTCTTTTGACCAACGAACGAGGAAGTGGAAGATGAGAAGGAGGCAGAATCGTCAAATTGGAAGAATGTACACTGCGAATCCGTTAGACGTCGAGCGCTACAGCCTGAGAATCCTTCTCCTGAATAGAAGAGGACCAAAGTCGTTCAACGATTTGAAGACTGTAGATGGAGTAGTCCACAACACGTTCAAGGAAGCAGCTAAAGCGCTCGGGCTGATGAATGACGATTCTCATTACGAAAACTGCTTAAGTGAAGCATCCGAGTTCCACATGCCGGTCCAACTTAGGTCCCTGTTCAGTAGTCTCCTCTGTTTCTGTACCGTCATTGAGCCTGCGCAGCTGTGGAATAAGTTTAAACGTGCAATGGCAGAAGATTACATTCATAGAGGAGTTGACCCTGTAGAAGCCATTATTCGTGCATACTTTGACATCATGGATAGGATGGCCATTTTCGGTGCTGATCTCAGGAGCTTGATCACCCCGCCTTCTGAGAGTAGACCAGCGCCTCTCAACGAGGACGAGCTCACAGAAGCTGAACATGTTGCTTATGGAGAACAGTTAATCGAGCAACTGAACGAGCATCAAAGGGCAGCTGCGAATAACATTTTGCTAACTGTGAACAACGCAGACGGCCGACACTTTTTTATAGACGGTCCTGGAGGCAGTGGAAAAACTTTTCTCTACACTGCGCTGTATCACACATTGCTTGGCATGAGAAAAAATGTAATCTGCGTGGGCATGGACGGGAATAGCTGCTAACCTACTTCCCAACGGAAGAACGGCTAGCAGTACTTTCAAGCTCAACATCCACGATAATAACAGAACGTGCTCGATGAAAAGAGAATCAAGGGAGGCTAGAGCTCTTCGTAACGTGTCGGTAATATTTTGGGACGAGATATCCATGGTTCCGAAATGGACCCTCGAGGCCGTGGACCTTCTCCTCAAAGATATAATGCAGAACGAGATCCCGTTCGGAGGCAAACTTATGGTCATAGGAGGAGACTTCCGGCAAGTCCTCCCAGTTGTGGAGAGAGGACAACAAGAAGATTTAGTAGACGCCTGCATTAAGAGTTCTGATTTG